AAAAAAAAAAAAAAAAAAGACTATTCCTTTAAAGAAGGTAAGAAATAGGTGCTTGTGTTGTGTTAATGCTCCATAACACATACACATCACTGGCTTCAAGACTTCACCAGACTTCAGAATCATCCAAGAAACATTTTAAAAATTATAACTCCCAGAACCGACTCCAAACTTACTGAACCAGAATTAGCGTAAGGTCTAGAAATACACATTAGTAACAAACTTCCAGATGATTCTAATAAACCTTCCTGCCCCAGAAGACTATTTCATCACCTTGCTACACAAATCAACACTAACTGATGTATTTCCAGAAGCCTAAAGTGCTTATGTGCAAGTCATCAACTAGGCTAATACAGAGCCCACTCTGAGATCTAAAGACTAAGGGACATAGTTACAATACCCATTCTGCTACCATCAAGACCACTCCCAAGAGGTAACTGATCATCTACCTGGACAGCCCTTCCCTGGCACAGTCCAGTACAAGTGACTCAGGTTCAAATCCTGAAATACCCTGGGCCCCCAGGAAAGCTTATGTGAGAACTTGAAAGGAACATTTCATAGCTTGGATAACGAGCCCTTTTAATGCTGCGGATATTCCTCCCTGCTGCTGCTGTACCATGATGACATTTTCACATGTAGGCAATGTTCCTAGGAACATCTGCAGCACATGGATGGTGGGCCTAACCACAAGACTGCATCAATACACTCCCTTCAAAACATATGGCTACCTGCCAAAATACTCTAGTGATTTTCCTAATAGATTGTATTTAAACTTAACATCATTTTGCCTACCGACTACTTCAGGCATCCTCAAACTACAGCCGCGGGCCACATGCATAGGGTGACCAGACGTCCCGCTTTTCCCGGGACAGTCCCACTTTTCCCAGGACAGTCCCGCTTTTCAACAATTTGTCCCGCGTCCCCTGGCGTTTTAAAAAAGTCCCGATTTTTGGAAAGAATGCACGAACAGGCGGGAGAACAAGAAAGGAATATACAGTTTTCGGCTGCCATGTGGCTATTTCACAAGGATATGAGTTTTATATTATTTTTGTTAATTTTATAATGTTAAACTGTAATAATAACAAATAATTGCTGAGAAGTGATTATCGAGAACTGCTTATCAAAGTTTGCATTGTTGTCAGGCCCTGCCCTGCCCTGTCCCCTGCCCTACCCCCCCCCCCCCATGTTGTCCCACCTTACTGATGGTAAAATCTGGTCACCCTACACATGCGGCCCATCTAGGACATTTATCCAGCCAGCCGAGTGTTTTTGCCTCTGCTGCCTGTCCTGCTTAGCAGCCAACTCTCCCGGGGCCCACAGTCCGGTCCTCCACTGTCTGAGGGACAGTGAACTGGCCTCCTGTTTAAAAAGTTTGAGGACCCTTGGACTAGTTTGTCAAATTGAAACGACCAGACTCAATCACTCTGGTGCCATGTCAGGATTAGTGAGAGAGGAGCAGATATAACAAAGAAATTACCCTGGTAGTGCTACCACCCTGTCAATCAAACACAGCCACAAATAGATCTGTAACCCTGTCATGGCTGCCATGTTCTTTCAGGTCACAATGCCTTTGCAGTAACTATTCTCTCTGCCTGGTCTGTTGTCTCTTTGTCTCTTCTGTCAAAGTCCCAGTTGTCTGGATCAATCTCTTCCTAATGATGTCCCAAACTTCTGCCTGAGCACCCACACCCTCCCCACCAGGCAGAGTTATGTTCCTACTCCTTGCTCTCATTGCACCCCACACCAATCCCTTCACAGGACCTGCTATCTCACTTGCCTACAAACACCAATGCCTACATCTTGAGCTCTAGCTCTCCTATTACTATGTGACCTCAGACAAAGAAAGCTCTCAAATTCTGTGTTCTCATCTATAAAATAGGGATTGTAATAATTTGTACTTCATAACTGCTTTCACAGGCACCTATGGAATAAATGGTACCACATACAGGAGGCATTTAACACAATGCCTGGCACATGATGGTACCCAATAAAGAGTAGCTATTAAAAAAAATCTGAGGCGGCGCTTGTGGCTCAGTGAGTAGGGCGATGGCTCCGTATACCAAGGGTGGCGGGTTCCCATCCCCAGCCAAACTGCGACAAAAAATAGCCAGGTGTTGTGGTGGGCGCCTCTAGTCCTAGCTACGCAGGAGGGTGAGGCAAGAGAATCGCCTAAGCCCAAGAGCTGGAGGTTGCTGTGAGCGGTGATGCCATAGCACTCTACCAAGGGTAACAAAGTGAGACTCTGTCTCTAAAAAAAAAAAAAAAAGTCGGTACAATGAATGATCAGAGAGAAAGGGTGAAAGAATAGAGAAGACACCAAAGGTGGAAGGGGAGAGAGAGTAGAGCCCACCAAAGGAGTTTCACCAAGACTTGTGCGAGGTAACCTTTTGCTCTGGCCACCATTACAAGCAGCATTTCAGAGTACACAGCCAGAGGGAAATCTAAGCTGATTGAGTGCTGGCTGACCTCTTATGCTTCACAGCTCCTGCCAACAGCTTTGCCTGGGAGAACTTGTTCTTGTTTTCTATGGGTTTCACAGCCACTTTCTTTTCTACTTCCTTCTTGTTTTCTGAAGAAATTCCAACCTTCTTGAGATTATTGTGAGTTACAGGTTAAGGATCAAACTTAATGACAGAGCAATCACAGGGCAATAATAACTCGAGAGAGGGACAACAAACATACATATAACCCACTAGCCCTTCAGCTAATGCCAGGTAATGCCTGGCCTCTTTATTAAAAAAAAAAA